TGCAAAACACATAAATTCATTTCTAAAAAAATACAGGTAAACTCACGGACCATATATCTCATGATAAAAAATGACCAAAAAAAATTCCTGCTTTTCTTTACGATATATATATTTTCTTTAAATCCAATTTCGTTTTTGATTTTTAAAAAATCCTAAACAAAGTCGGATTCAAAAACAAAAAATATGTAGTTGTAGGGCTTAAAATTCCCTACAACCCCATATATATATATATTCAGGAAAATTCGTGTAAAATCGTGTCCGTGGTGCGGACGAGGTAGGCCGTGGACGCGGACCCATTTGGGTCCACGATCCGAGCTCGACCCCGCGGACGCGTCCGCGGGTGTTTCGTAGGTGTGGGGCACATTCTTTGACGATCCGGAGGATCCCAACCCCCAAGACCCAGCAGTCTTGCCGGGGCCATTGGACGACACAGTTGAGGAGGCAGCACGCCTTGCGAGACTGAGGAAAGCGCCGAGAGGGAGGATATTGGAAGGTGACGAATACGATGACACATCCAGCTCTGAGGATGATGAGGATCTGATTTGGAACGGGAAAGGAGGTACCACACAACCGAGGAGTCAACCAGCGCGACTAGCAAAAGGAAAGGCTCAGATCGATGTGGACTATGAGGAGGAGGAAGAGGAAGAGAGCGAGGAGGACGAGGACCCGAACTTTGAGTTGCGCCCACCCGGTGACGGAAGCGAGTCTGATCAGGATTGGGATGACAGCCCGTCATTGATCAATCCGTGTTTCATGAGAAAAGCCCAACAGGGGTGCACGGAGGAGTCCACTCAGGACATTGTTGAAAGGGCCGCAGCGAGGGCCCTTGCAGAGAGGGATCACGAAATTGTGCAGCAGAGGGTTGAGCAGGACAATGCAAGGCGTGTGGCAGTCCCCCCTCTTTCAAGAGCTAGCAGGGCACAGGATGTGCAGTTAGCAACCCGTCCTACTGCAGCAGACTCCACAACAAGACCAGAAGCGGGTGGTGCCACAGAGGGAGCATTAGCAGTCACGGCGTGCCAACAGCAGCAAGAGCGGCGGCACCAGGATGAGCAACAACAGGATACGCAGCAGCAGGCCGAGCACCAGCTGGACCAGTGCAGAACAGAGTCGCAGCAACAAGAGCATGCGCAGCAGCAGCAGCAACAGAAGCGGGAGGATATGCAATGCAAGGAGGATGCACGGCAGCAGCTGGAGGATGTGCAACAATAAAAGCAGCATGAGCAGCAACATGAGGAGCGACATGAACAGCGGATACCACATCAGCAGCAGGAACGATTCCAGCTTCATGAGGAGCATCGGGATTATGCGCAACAGCAGTCAAATGATGCGCGACATCATGAGCAGCAACAGAAGCAGCATGAGCAGCAGCATGAGGAGCAACATGAACAACGGAAACCACAGCAGCAGCCGGAACTATGTCACCAGCAGCAGCAGCACCCATGTCAGCTGCACGATCAGATCCAGTGTCACCCTCCCTTCCCTAGCCTGCAGGGCGACCTCGTGCACGACAATTTGGAGGTAAGTCAGGCAGGCAGAAAGAGGAAGCCTGCAGCTCAACCGGTTGCTGCACCAGCAGTTAAACGGGAGCGGGGTCGGCCACGCAAAGGAGAGGAAAAAACTAAGGCGCCTGCCCCGGAAGCACCCCCGGCACGCACTCGGAATGCAGCCAGGAACAGGAGATCGCGGAAAGCCCATTCGCTTGTCATAGAGGACGATCCCACCACGTCGGAGGACAGTAGTGGGATGTCCAGCGGGGAGTCGGACCCCAACTGGCATTAGAGAGGGAACATCTTCTTCTTCTTCTTCGCTATGCTCTTCTAACTCGTTTTCCTTCTTGTCTTCTTGTCTTTTTGTCTTCTTCCTTGCCATCCTCCTTCACTCCTTGATGATGGTCTTCTTCTTCTTCTTCTTCTTCTTTTTCTTCTTCTTCTTCTTCTTCTTCTTCTTCTTCTTCTTCTTCTTCTTCAGGGGAAGTGCTCCTATCTCCCGGTTGGCCCTTCTTCTCAGGAGGGAGCGGTGCAAAGTTCACTGCATCTGTCCTCTTTCGTGTTTGAAGTCGGCCATGTCTTGTCTCTGTTAACTGTTTGTGCCTCATCTATTTCATTTTGGTTCTGTTATCTGTCTTCTTTTCTTCTGCATGTTACTTTGAGCAGTGTCTGGTCTGTTGATGGGCAGTGGCGCAGTGGGACTCGTTCATGAGAACACAATGCAAGTGACACTCTGCAATTTGAGTGCAAGCATGGTGCCAACGGGGCCTGCTCTTTGTTGATGTGCAAGTAACACCGGCATTCACATGCAGCAGGCCCTGCCGATGGTGCTTGTGCTTAGTGAACATGCACCTTTTTTTTTTTCTAGTTGTTAGAATAATCAGGTAACTACAGCTTCATAGTTCCATTCCATGTGGGTAGAATGCAGGACTATGTCGGCAGAGGGCAGTGCTATGTGGGCAGGGCGCAGTGCTGTGTAGGCACTGTGACATAGTACTAATGTGTGGACAGAGTGCAGTACCGTATGTGGCATTGTGTGAGACTGGCATAGTGCTGTACTAGGTGGGCAGAGTGAAGTGCTTTGTCGGCACTGTGACAAAGTACTTTGTGGTATTGTCTGGGCCAAGTGTAGTACTGTATATGGTATTGTGTGGGCAAAGTGTAGTACTGTATGTGGTATTGTGTGAGACAGGCAGAGTGCAGTACTATGTGTGTAGAGTGCAATGCTTATTTACTTGCCTCTCTGCCTGTCTGGATACCTGCCTTCTGACCACCTCCCTCCCTTTGTTCCTTACTTCTTTAACCCCCACTCACCCTCTCTCTCTCTCTCTCTCTCTCTCTCTCTCTCTCTCTCTCTCTCTCTCTCTCTCT